CTAACCTTTCACTCTAGGGTCATTTAGATTTAACCAACCAAACAAAATTATTTAAATTTTGCCGATGCTTGTGTCTCAATTTATGGTGGAGTATATATAAAGTCAGTTTAATAACGAAAACTTCTTTGGGGTATGAATCTTAGAATCTGCAAAATGGAAACTCCATGCAATTGTAATTAATCTGTCAAATGTGCGGTTTTCTCTAGAGGAAGTGAACCCTTTTAATGACATACTATTGAGGGGGAGTTTTGACTAAAGACACAATTAATTTAAAAACCTTTTGTCTGAAATAAAAATTTACTTATATATTTGATTCGACTACTTAGATTAAGGACTAGACTTCGTATCTTGGCTTACAAAATATTTTCATCTAATGTTAATTCTGGTAAAATTATTTACTAAGGAATTGATAAATTAAGCAGCAATTCATTTAATATGAAGCTTCCAAGATTGGGTTGTATGCAAATAAGGCCTGAATAATGTCCATTATATATAAATATTTATAGCGTCTCTAAATTAATTTTAGAACATTTCACCTTCCGGTAGAACACTGATAGAACACATGGTAGCGCATGGAGAAAGTTTCACAAATAAGCCTTAACCCATAATATTTTATTTAAACATACTAAATTCCAGTGTTGTTTGAAACAATGAAACACAAAAAATATGAAGCATATTTAAAAATTATTAAATAGCTTTAACCAATTCCTTTAGTTTGGTTTGATAAAAGGGTCTGAGGTGCGCACAAAAAACTAGGCATATATTATGGAGAAATAGTTCTGAATATGCTCCAATCTTTGCTTACTATTCAAGAAAGTCGGGCGAAACATTTAACATATAAATAGAAACCTGATAAGGGAATAAACGTTTCAAAATTATGTTTCATTTAGATTTTTATAATTCACGATATTTCATATCACATTTTGAACTTTATGGTGAAATAAATTTAGTATTTTAAAAGTTCTGTTCTGATACATTATGTTACCTATTCCAATAATCGATACACAACTTGAAATATTGTAAGTCCATAATCTTGCTTTGTAAATAATATTTTGTTTTCTCGAACGTATGAAGACTAAGATTAGTGTGGCCTTTTGTATGATCGCGGTCTCCTTTCGTTGTATAGAGATTGTTTGACCTTATTTTAACAACCTGGTCATGTTGGTAGGAAGACTTAGAGGAACGCATATAGTTCGAATTTCAGTGTATGCACGATAATTTCCAAAGTTGGGCAGTGGACGTGATACATTCTCTGACGTTTCTCCGGCTTCGTCAATAAGTATCGCCACACTAAATATCAATAAGCACGGTAAAGGTTATACAATGAAGGCGTGATAGGAGGATATAGGAAATGTAAATAGCCCAGGACAGAAGGGGTGATACCATAATTATTCAGCACAAGATTGGCCAAAGGATCGGCTTCACTAATCTTTTTTACGAGTTGTTGTGAGGTGCTAAGAATGGCGATACTTACTGACGATGCCGGCAAAGAGTCTGGGAATCTACCTCGTCCACAGTCGGACTTTGGAAATAATCATGCATACAACAGACTCCGGACTAGGTGCGTTCCTCTAAGTCTTCCTACCAATATGACCAAGATTCGAAAACAAGGTCAAACAACCTAAATATTTTGTTTATTTAACATTAATACGGCCTTGTATTAGTACGAATTACTTAATATATCACAATACAGTTTATCTTTTTACTACTGTATGCACATTTGAATTTTTAATTAGTATAAGGCAAGAATATCGATAATTATTTTTTCTCAGGTCAAGTATATAGGTATAATATTGGTTATGCTTGGCAAGGCATAGTGATACAAACATTATTTAGGGATATCAACAAAAGCATGATTTAAAAATTTGCATACAAAAATATCATATATGTACAATTTTAGTGATGCATTATACAGTCAGTATACTGAATATTAACGACAAAATTTATTTTATCAACTATTTCTTAAAACCTTTACTTAATAGGATTATGTTTTTTGAAGTCATTTATTTAACATTATTAATAAATTAATATTCTTGTGTTAAACGTTTTCTTTGACATTGTTATATTACACCACAAGCTAAACGTCTGGCACCGCGGCAGGTCTATGGCTATCAGCTGTCCCTTTTGATTTCTGTTTGCAATCGTGACGGCCATATTCCTTCTATAGTGCTTACATATCTAAATATGAATAGAAAATATGATTTGTTTACGGAATGGGTCATGCTAAAGGTTGCTTAAGACATTGGTAAGATGCATATTTATGCCTCATTTGAGCGAATGCCAAGGCTTCCCGTGTGAGGCCATTTTCATTTATTCAACGCTAAAACATGAATCCGCTGATTATCTTCCATCATGTTTTTAAATCTAGATTACTATAAATTCTGGTAGAAATTTAGAATCTGAAGGTGTTTTGGCTATGAATTCATGCTTTTTGCCCCCAAACACGTCGAACTATGATGGCCAAGGATCGCTGGAATTTGAAAGCCCTTGCGCTTCTAAGCTCTATGAAACAGTTTGCCAAACGATCCTTGATCACTACTCAGCTCATTCTGATCACAAGTCTTTTGGCTTTGACTCTTGTGGGTCATCTCTGAAAGCTGATACCTCAAGCAGCAATCAATTCAACCTTATAACAGAGCCAAATGTAATATTTCGTTTATAGTATAATTAACCGCATTTTAGTCACAAATATATACTCCTTTGCATGCTAAAATTGTTAAATTTGCAAAGCAGGGCCATCCAATTATTATAGAAATTTTTCTTGTGTCTTCTCAAGAAATTTTTTGTTCATGCACTCATCTTCCACAAGTTAAGGTCCCAGCTTACATGCTTGAACAATGGACTGTTCAGCTTCTGCCTCGACGGTAATTTATACTATTATACGTATTCGCCTTAGATATTTCAATAGTTTATTACTCTACGTATAATCCTTACGTCTTTTTTACTTATTAGACTAGCTCATGGGCCACAAGACTCCTTGGCTATTCTGAAGAATGAGCTACACTCCTATTTAGATACGTCTCTACTCACAAAATGGCTTCAACGTCAGGATGCATATTCACAAAATTGCAAGCGTTTTGGGTTAAATGACAAAAAAAAGAATCTTGAGGTTTACAATTGCAATCTACGCATTGCTTTTCGGTAATTAAATGATTTTTTTATCTTTTATTGATATCTTTTTTCTTATAATATATGCTAGATTACCCATGTTTATTATTTGTCAACTCCACTGTATATTTACACTTCTATCGGATTTCTCGAATCTTTTTAATGATTCTTTTATATGGTTTAATTTTCATTTAATGTGTGTACTTTAATCCTGGTGTTGTCGATTTATTAACTAAGGTCAGCACAGTACCTTTAAAATATTGACAACTCATTTAGTTTAGCTTTAAATTTTATATGATGGAAGAGTTCTAGCTATTTATTAGTCTCCTTTAGTTTTAGAAATAAGTTAAATCGACTGGGGTCTGTTAACTTTTCCACGCAGAGGATAAATAGGACATAATTGTCTTGTGCTTTTTTGTCTTCTCTGATAATATATCTAATGCGAAGTTAGTCAGCATTTATGTTGTTGTTTAGGGCGAATTAAAATTACCTTAGACATCTTGTTTTATGTTTTAGTACATTCCTTTAGCCTGAAAATTCTATATCGGTTTCTTGTCCTATCATGTATTCATGCTACTATTATTCCATATAAGTAGATGTATATAGTCTATTTTAAAACTATGCTCACATAATTATTCTCGCTACACCTTCGCATTCCTATTTTCAGTCTTAGTACTTTATGTGACTCCAGTTCCTTCGTTTCTTCATGGTGTCTCGTCGATGCATTAGATTTGGCGAACAGTTGTTTCGGAGCCCTTTGGCTTGCTATGCTCAAGCCTTTGGCTGCCTCTACTGTAGGTACCCTCACCCATAATCGAGAGTATATTCTTGATTCAGATATCGAAATTGCTACGGATGGATCTCCTAACAAAAAAAACTCGAAAGACATTGTTGCAGATGATGCTACTGATTATGGAAGACTTCTGGGTGGTTATCATCCAGCTACCAATCTTACGTCAAACGGCCACCATGGTAAGTGCTACATTTTTATTCGGTATGAAATATGATATAAATAAATCAGCATTAAAAAAGGAAATTGCTACTTACATTCTTTTCATTTTAAGGCTTATTTTATTTTCCTCAGCATACCAAAAAGCACACCATCTTGGTCTTCATATCTTCGACTAAGCCTATTAACTTGTAATAGCTTCATAACTACATGCCTTTCGTATGGGATTGTTCATAAATGATAGCAGATATTAATAAAAATATCTAAGATTAAGGGCAACTGAGCTCAATATAATATAAAAATGTAGGCATTGCGACTAACTAGATTGAGGCGCTTTCATTGACCAAATTGATAGATTTTTCATAACGATGAACTAGGGAAACTGGATACATTTGTCTGTGTTAAAGGATTTCAAACTTTCAAAGTAAATCTCCATTAGAAGTTGTTTGACCTTGTTTTCACAACTTGGTCATATTTGTAGGAAGACTTAGAGGAACGCATCTAGTCCGCAGTCCATTGTATGCATTATAATATCCAAACTCGGATCGTGGATGTGATACATTCACAGACGTTTCGCCGGTATCGTCAGGGAGTCTTACCACCATAGTACAACTCGTCAGAGATAAGTGAAACCGATCCTTTGATCAAATGCGTGCTAAACAGTTGTGTTATCTCTCCTGTCCTGGGCTATTCACCTTTCCTATATCCTTGTATCATGCCTTCATTATTACAACTTTCCCTTGCTTACTTAAATGTAGTCTGGTGTGCCATTTTGACCGACTTTCATGAAACTCTCCACGCTGGCATTCTCACCCCCCTTTACCCTTGTGCTGGAAATTCTGATCAGTCTGCCATATATTTACGCCGTCTTTCTTCCCTGAGTCTTATCAAGGTATCCCTCTTGCCCCGTAAAATCCATCTGTTATCTCCTTATTCAAGTATTTCACTTGACCCATGTCACCCCAACTGTGCTAATCAAGACGTTATTTTCTACGCTGCGTCTGGGAGACTAACTCTAGGCCAAAGTTCCTAATTAATTGTCATGGTCAAGCCTTTGCTTTATTGACCACGTCTATGGTAAAACAGGCCTACTGTAAGCCCACTAATCAAGTAGTGTTTAGATTGAGTTCAATATTAAACCACAACATTTATGGGTTGGAACACAAGAGCCTAGGACATAGCAAGTATTAGGGCTATAAACAAGCTAATCGCAGCGGAGACGAGCTATTTGGCTGACAGTAGGCCTGTTTTACCATAGATTTGGTCAATGAAGCAAAAGCTTGCCCATGACACTTATTCAGTGGCTTTGGCCTAGAGTTAGTCTCCCAGACTCATAATGTGAGAAATAATGTCTCGATTAGCATAAATAGGGTGACATGGGTCAAGTGAAATACTTGAACCAGGGAGATAGCAGACGAATCTTACGGGGCAAGAGAGAGACTTTTATAAGACCTATGGGAGGAGGATTGCGTAACAATATGACAGATTCTGATCAAACTTCCCAGACAAAGTTGAATAGAGGTAAGAACGCCAGCGTGGAGTGTGGAGAGTTCTCATGAAAACCGGTCAAAATGGCGCACTACATTTAAATAAGCAAGGAAAAAATTGTGATAGTGAAAGTGTGATACGAGGATATAGGATAGGTGAATAACCCATGAGAGGAGAGATACCACAACTGTTAAGCACACATTTGTTCAAAGGATCGGTTTCACTTGTCTCTGACGAGTTGTCGTATGGTGCTAAGAATGGCAAGACTCACTGACGATGCCGGCGAAACATCTGGGAATGTGCTCGTCTCCGGTCCGGCTTTGGATTTAATCATGCATACTATGGACTCCGGACTAGGTGCGTTCCTCTAAGTCTTCCTACCATTCGGACCAAGTTGCGAAAACAAGGTCAAATAACTTCTATACAACAAAAGGAGATTGTGACCACACACACAATCTTGGTCTTCATACCTTCGATTAGATCTCCACTGTTCACCATATTGCTTTCGCATATTAGCAACAGTATGGAACTCGGGAAGCCACAACTCCAGTCCAAACCTTAGTCGAGGATAGTTCGAAAAGCTAGGCAGAATGATTTAATTGAAGATATTAAGACCAAGATGTTGTGGCCTCTGGTATGGTCGCAGTCTCCTTTCGATTTATAGAAGTTGGTTGACTTCGTTGTCGCAACTTGGTCTTGTGGTCAGGGAGACTATGTAAAACGCACCTAATCCGAAGTCTTCTACCATAGTAGTTGTCATGATTCCCAGCATCCTACAGTAGACTTGATACATTATCAAACGTTTCTCTGGCATCATAGTCGGCATGATCAGTGAGTTTTGCCATTTGCCGCACCAAGCTACGAACTCGTCAAAGAGACCAGTGAAGCCAATCCCTT